TATGAAACAGATTCTTCAAACGTGACATCGACACTAGTAAAGTATTGGTGCAGGGAAGGACTGTAGCAACGATATCCCTTTTGCATGCGGGAGTAACTAAGAAATACATATTTGGTAGCTCGAGGGTCAAGTTTGTCAAATTCAGGACCCAAATTATGAACATAACAAACACATCCAACAACTTTAGGAGTCAGGAAAAATAAACGCTTACCAGGAAAAAAGACAGAATATGAATTTTGCCCATATAACACAGAGGATGACATACGATTAATAATGTGATAAGCAATAAAAACATCACTCCCAAAATATGAGGGAATATTTATCTGGAATAATGGGGTACAGGTGACTTTCAACAAATTACGGTTCTTGTGTTTAGCAACACTGTTCTGTGGAGATGTGTAAGCACAGGACGTCTGATGAATAATGCCAACTTTATTAAGATAAACTGAAAAAGGATTAGATTCATATTCCCGAGCATTATCCGAACGTAGAATACGGATACGATAACCATACTGTGTTTTTATTTCCTTACGAAAGGTCTCAAATATAGAGAATAATTCAGACCGAGCTGTCATCAGAAACAACCAAGTCACACGAGAATAGTCATCCACAAATAACACAAAATAAGGATATTTATTAGATAAAATATTCTTTATTGGATCCCTTACATCAGAATGTACCAACTCAAATGGATTAGACACACGATTATTGACTCGAGACTGAAATGACACACGGTGATACTTACTAAGTTGACACACTTCACAAGACAAAGACGGCACAGAACTAAGATTGGGACCTTGACGTTTCAGATTTTGGAGAGTCCAAGACGACAATGTCATTGAAAAGGAGACAACGAGGTCTGTAGAGCCCGAGTAGGTGAATCAAAATCAAAGTAATATAGGCCACCAACTTCATGTCCCGTACCAATCTTCCTCTTCGTCTTAAGATCCCGAAAGACACAATAAGAAGGATAAAATGTTACAAAATAATTGAGAGAACGGGTAATCTAGTTAATGGAAAGTAAACTAAAAGGAAACTGTGGAACAAATAATACGGAAGATAGGGACATATCAGAACTCAAGTTAGTAGTCCCCAAACCTGAAACTTTAGAACAAGTGCCATTAGCAAGAGTAACACTACGTGTAGAAGGAGCAGACTAATAAGTTGAAAAAATATCGAACGTACCAGTCATGTGATCAGAAGTATCAGAGTCTATGATCCAGGGATTGCGATTGGAGGACAATAAACAAGTGGAAGCAATACCTGACTGGGCAAAAGTAGCAGTGGAGGAAGATGGAACAGCCTGTTGCTGAAATAGGAATTGGGCATACTCTTCTCGAGTAATAGTAACTAATCTAGTGTTTTGTTTGGGTTCCATAACGGTGCAACAAATAGCAAACAATAAGTGTTGTAATACCGAACCAGAAGAAAAGAGAATGCTGGACCGCTGAACCGAGCTTGTTAAGGCTGCTGGAATATTGAACTAGTCTGGAAAATTGACCTGAACCATTGAACCGGGCCTGTTAAGGCTGTTGGAGCCTTGAACCAAACTGGAAAATCGGCCTTGCTAAGGCCACTGGAAGCCTGACTTGGACTGGTTTAGTCCTCTGGATCACTGAACCGGCCTGCTTATGCTACTGGAAGCTTGAATCGGACAGGTTTAGCCCTCTAGACCGCTGAACCGGTCTAACCCAGACTGGTTGGAGCTAAACTGGATGAACGTTACTAAACCATGACTGCACTAGTACTGAATCATCCGGGTTGAACAGAAACAGTGTTGAACCAGCTAGACCATGGGACTGGGCTTTGCTTTTGGTTTGAGCTTGGATTGATTGTGGTCTGGTTTGGTTTGTTGAGGCTTGGCCTGAAGTATATGGGCTGGACTAGCTGTTTTGGACCTGAATCAGGTGGCTGGGCTATTGACAGAATTGGGCCAATCTTATTGGGCTTTACTCAATTAAACCCAAAACACACAAAATTGGGATTAGATATCCACCAAGGAAGATTCTACACTAGGCTAGGATTAACTGTTCCTGTAGCCACACATCACCATCTTCTTGACCAGTTTCTATCAAGGCCACCAAAATTCTCCATCGGCAACCACGATACAAAAGTCTGGCACAAATAACGATTTCAACCTGCAACGATGCAACTCACTCCCAGCCAACAACAATCAATTGGACCCAACAAGAAATAGAACACTCGATCACAATCGAAGAGACTCAATCATAGTGAGTTAGGATCGACTGCGAACAACGACCATGCCGGTAACGAACAGTAAAGAAAGAATTGTACAACAAATCCAACAAATCTGAAACTTTGATAGATCTAAAAACCGAAGATCCTCACAACAGTACCACAACCACCATGATGCTTCGACAAACACCACCACAAACAAGGTAATTTTCACAACAACTCACTAATATTTGTATTTAGGATCGTATTGCTCTGATACCATGTTAAGTTTGGAGGATTAACAATAATATTAGAGACAATATTTAAAGAGAAACAGAGAGGGGTTAAAACCTTAACCTAGCTTTCATACATCACTTATATTGATAGTTAACCTACAATAATAAGAATTATACATACACCCTCTTACTATTAATAATTTACACATACTACCCTACTATTCTTAACACATGAAATTCATGGTTTTAGAATATTTTTTTAATCAGACTAGTGGTTACGAATATGAGATGTGCGGGTTTGGATTGTAGATTTGGGATTTTTTGTTCGAAGCTCCTTTTTTGCTCTAGTTTGGATTGAGCTTGTACTGAGGTGAGCTTGAACACCACTTCAACACTTCGAGCCAAGCTTGAGTATGCCAAAGTTCGGTAGGCTCGGTTTGATTATCACCCCTAGTTGCTTAAATTGAGGTATTAAATTAATGAGTCATACAATAAAGCTTTAGGAAAGAGTAATCGAGCAATAATAGAGATTTGAAACAATCTCAATTTTGTTTTATGCCTGGGAGGTCAACAATGACAACTATATACTTATTTAGAAGACTAATGGAAAGGTATAGAGGGAAAAAAAAGATCTTCTTATGGTGTTTATGGATTTAGAGAAGGAATATGATAAAGTTTTTAGGGATATAATGTAGCGGGCGTCAGAGAAGAAGAGAGTTGCAAATAAATATATTGATTTGATTAAGGATATGTACGAGGGTAATGATCTTAGTTACAACAACACCAGTAGAAAATAGTAAATTCCTAGCCTATATTAGGGTTTTAAATTCGTATCTTTTGCTTGATACATTCTGGATGAGGTTCCATGGTGTATATTTTTTGCTGATGATTTAGTATTGATAGATTAAAAACTGAATATATGGAATGTAATTTTAGTATTACAGTTGAAATCAAATTGGGACATAAGGCTTAGTTTAGTTTGATTTGGTTTTAGTTGAAATCAAATTTGGAGGTTGTAAAGTTTGAAGGCATGAGATATCCATGAATAAACACTTTTAGTATTTTTTGGGTCAATTATCCATAGAGGGAGTGATTGGAGACAATGTTAATCATAGAAGTAATGCCAGATAGGCTTAGTGGAGGAATGTATTTGGTGTATTATGTAATTGACGTATACCCCTTAGGCTTTTAGGTAAGTTTTATACTATATGCATTAGACCAGTAATGTTTTCTGATACAAAATATTGGACTATTAAGAAACAATACACTCAAAAACTTAGTGTTGCAGAAATGAGAATATTAAGATGGATGTACGGTAAAATGAGAAATGATAGAATTAGAATGAGTACACGCGTAAAACTATAAAAGTAGCACAAATAGGAGATAAATTAAGAGAAAATCAACTTAGGTGTTTTGGACATATTTATAGAAGGCCTAGTAAGGCCTGAGTAAGGAAAAATGAGTTGATATATATTGATGGTAATGAGAGGGGTAAAGGTATGTGTAGGTCTAAAATAACTTTGAACGAAATAGTAAAAAAAATGTGTGATAACTTACAGGCTAACAGAAAATATGACTCTTGATAGAGCACAATAGAGAAATAGGATTCAATGGACCCCAAATAGTTGGGATCTATGAATCACGAACACGTGAATTAGGCTCACTTATCCGTATCCCATTCGTTTGGGACATGGGCACGTGTCCTGCCCGTGCAATAGAGCGCCCGAGTTTTTAATTTTTTACATCCTGGACAAGTTTGGAACAATTTTATGCCATTTCAATCTGTTGAAAACACTCATAGTAGCTGGGTTTTTTGCTGGAATCGACGAACCAGATTACCTCCAAAATAGTAAAATTGCAGGGCCGCATGAATCTCATTGCAGATCTATAAATAGAGGCTGTAACCCAAATGTTTTACCTCATTGAGATCTGTTGTCTTGCTGTTGTCCGAAGATTCTTCAAAGGGGGAGAGAAAGATGAGGGCAGACGGACGAGGGAGAGAAAGACGAGGTGCAGTCATGCAGGAGAGAGAGAGAGAGAGAGAGAGAGAGAGAGAGAGAGTCTCATTTGATTTTCACATTTTTAACTGAAGGGAAAGATAGAAGAGAGAATCTTCATTTTATTTTTCATCTGCCACCTGCTCCAGCTTATCTGCAACTTACCACATGTTCCAGCTTATCTGAAACTTGCTAACGGATTGTGGACTGGACTTGTTATCTAATGGGCCTTTTTTTGGTCAAATTTGTTGGGCCTTTTCATTAGCCCAATACCAGTGGAAACATTAGAATGTTATCTAGGTCAAACTGTGATCAAACCATTTTCTTAGAAAATATTTCTTGAGCCAAATTTCAGAACTCATGACATAAAAAAATGATAAAAAAAAGAAATCTCAGTTGTATAGAAATAAAAATATATCTTTTATTCAACGTGTCCCCGACGCTTCTGTATCGTACTTTAGAAAAATCCAGTGTCCGTGTCTCATTGTGCCATGTTCTGTGTCCGTGTCTGTGTCCATTCTCAAGTTGAGATTAAAACTTTGTTGAGTTGAGTGATTGAGCTTTGCCTTATTATATCTGGCTTTCATTCTAGATGCTTAAACAAGTATGCTTTAAAATTATCACTCTTAAAGTTTTTGTGGTGTGTAATCATAATGATTATTTTTTTTTGCTAAAAGTGAACAGCTTCTACAACTTGTACTTTTTCCTTTCTTGCTACAGGAAGATGCATCAGTGCTTTTTTCTAGGCTTCTGGATCAGCTGATGAAGAGCGACAAATATGGGGAGCGCCGTGGAGCAGCATTTGGATTAGCTGGAGTGGTTAAAGGATTTGGGATTTCTTGTTTGAAGAAGCATGGCATTGTGACTGTACTGCGAGAAGGTCTTGTTGACAGGTTTGTTTGGAACTACTGTTTTTAGCAACCTTGAAATTGTAAAAAATTCTTTTTGTAGTCATAGATGATGTCCCAGGTTATTCAATAGGAGTAGAGAAGGATCATAAACTTCCACTTGCATGCAAATACATTTAGTGATAAATAATTATAAACGTGCAAAAGAAAAAAAATTTTACACCAAATATTATGAGTTTTCAGCCTTTTAACCATACACAAATAGCTAACCAAGAACAGTTTTTTTTTTGATAAAAGAAGAATTTTATTATTGAAAGGAATAAAGAGCATAATACAATGTATATGATAATATATCCTCCATAAAAAAGATTTAAGCAAAGGAAAAAAATAGAAAAAATAAAAAAATCTAAAGTATAGCCTTTATCCAGGCCCTTTGAAAATCTGACAATGGAATCCCTCTAAAACTTCTTGTAGCTTTGGTCGAAAGTGAAGCCATAAAAACCAATCGTTCCCATACTAGTTTAGAAGGTGGAAAACGATTATTGAAAATTCTAGCATTTCTCTCCACCCAAATACTCCAAAGAATTTTCATGATGGCACAATGCCGTAATACTTTAGCTTTCTTTTTTTTTTTTTTCCAAAACTCCAGTACTTAATTTGCAATATCTACTTCCCTGTAGAGGGGCAAACCCATGTAGCACCAATCAACTTGAATAATGTCTTCCAAAAGCTCCATGCAAAATCACAGTGAATAAATAAATGAGCATTTGATTCACTCCTCAAACCTGCAACAAATCGTTAGTGTTCACACTATTAAGGACAACGGTCCAAACAAAAGCCTTAATTTTAAAAGAAACTATGGATTTCCAAATAAATTTGGCCAAAGGAAAAGAATCATTGTTACTAGAACTAACAAGATGTGAATAGAAGGATTTTGATATCATGAGAATAATAACAGGTTGAAAGTTATTGAGAATATGAAGGAAATAAGTCAAATCAATTGTTTCCCTATCATTAAGATGCTTAAATTCTAAAGAAATGAAAATCTCAAGAACATAAGCTTATCCCTATGACGAGAAAAGAGGAAATAGGAGCCTAAGGGAGTAAGGATAAACGATAAAGACGTGAAAAGATATTATAAATATATAAGTTTTCGATCCATGTATCCTCCAAAAATGGAACTTGATCCATCTCCAATGTTATACCGGGTCAATGGAAGAAAATAATGATAAATCTGTGAAATGAACTTCTAGGGACTCGTATGGGTTGTGTTATGCCCTGGCTTAGTATTCCACCTATTCTTCTGAAGGCCACACTTATTACTAATTACCTTAAGGAGTCAGGTTCTAATTCGAACCTCCATAACCATTTCCCTATTTGGAAAATATTTTTAGACACCAAATTACCAGGTGTCAAACCCCTTCGTCAATATGCTTTCCAAACTATCTCCTAACTCACTAAATGATCCCGTTTATCATCTCCCACCCCAGATTAAAGAAAATCCCTTATCATTTTCTCTTATTTCATAGCTACTGATACATGGATTCTAAATAGTGACAAATAGTACAAAGGCATGCTAGTCAAACATAATTTTATCAAGGTGATCCTCTCCCTCAAGAGAGAAATATGTCCTCTTACAACCTTCTAATATTTTACGCATCCTTTCAATAACTAGATCCCAAAAAGATAGTGATCTCAGATTTTTCCCCTAATGTTAACCCTAGGTAAACGATAGGCCACTCATGTAGTGAACATCCCACCTCTAATACCAAATCTCTAACAACTTTCCCCCTCCAAGTTGATGCCTATAACCCCACTTTTGGACATATTAATTTTTACACCAGAAACTTGTCCAAAACTTTTATTCAGCAAATGCACGTTGTGAAGACATGCTCTTTTATATGATAGGAAAAAAATAGTGTCATCAGCAAACGATACATTTACATTCTCATCAACCACTCTCAATCGCTCTATTAATCCTATTTTTTCTGTTCTAATAATCATCCTACTGATGAGATCAACTACCAATATAAATATAAAAGGTGATCAAAGATCTCCTTGCCTCAAGCCCCTGGATGCATTGAACCAACCATTCCCTAGTCTCGCCATTCACCAATACTAAAAAAGTCGAAAAAGAGAAAAAACCCCTTATCCACTTTCTTAATCTTTTCCCAAATCCCTTGTTTTTTAACACTACATCCACAAAATTTCAATTTACTCGATCATATGCCTTTTTAAAATCCAACTTAAACACAACTCCTTTCTCCACTTTCTCATAATATTCTCCACCACATCATTTGCCGTTAAATTTGCATCTAGTATTTGTCTTTCTTGAACAAAAGCACTCTGGGCCACGGTTACCATGTCTCCCAAAACTTCACAATGCCTTTTAGACAACACTTCGGTGATAATTTTATACAAATTAGTCACCAAACTGATAGGTATATAATCTTTAACTTTAATTAAACAATCTTTTTTGGGGACCAATGTGATAAAGGTAGAATTAACACTCCTCCCCACAACCCTATTAGCAAAAAACTCCACTAGTCACCAAACTAATAAGTATAGTTGAATATTGATATGTAATCTTATTGAGCTTCGGGACTTTTGGTCTCGTATAAATTCAATCTCTAATGCTGTGAGAATTAACTTGACAACCTCTTAAAGTAGAATAAATCACAATAGGATAAGAATGGGAATATCAAAATAGGATCGGAATTTCTTATCAAAAGTTTGACCAAGCAATATAAAATAGTTCCAGAAACATGAATAAAAAAGTTAAGTGACACCACACAAGTCAATTGATTGTAAATATTCGTATAATATTTCACATCACTTATAGTTTCTTACTCCAGTTCATCATACCATATATGTCAAGTGTTATTCAGTACATTTGGCCAAGATCCATGAATTGTCTAGAAACCAATGATGGAGTTGAGTATGAGGAGTTTCAAACATCTTGGGAATGATGTGAAAATTGACAAGGAAGTCTTCATTGTTGAAGTAGATGAAGAGTCTAGGGTGGATGCTATCAAGTTTATTGAAATAATCTATAGGATTTGGGGTTGCTTCCTGGTTGTGCAAAGTGGTTGAGGAAATGAGTAACTGGAGAGGAATATGGCTCTTTTTTTAGAAAGTTTAGTTGTAATTCATACAGGATATTGGTGGAACTAAAATCAAATAGGTATGGGAAACGATATTCAAACACCATTCTTCAAATAAAAATATCTTCATAACTATTCCACAAGGGAAGGATTTCAATGGCTGGAGAAGCTTTTTGAGAATAGTGGATGTTCTATTGAGATATGGTTGTAATGCCGAGAAGAATAGAGTTGTTGTTGGAGGGGGTTTATTGTGCAGAAATAAAGATGTTGTGAAAGATGATGAGCCCTCAATTTTCGAAACACGGAAGAAAGCTTGGTATGTAAAAAGGAGAACATTTTTGTTCCATGTTGGTGGATTCAGGAAGCTTTGATAGAGAGGATTAAAGTCAATATTTTGTTGAGACCTAGAAAGGATAACAAATCTATCTTCTTTTGCAAAGATGAGAATAAGGCTCCCGCCGTATGTCCTAAAGCAATGTTTTTGTCGAAGGAGATTGGTATGTAAATGTACTCCCCCTAAATATTAAAACAAATTTCCCCTCATTATGTTCACATGCAACATACCTACACTAGTCAAGAGTAAATCTCCTCGATTCATCTCATAAGTACCTAAAATATTCTCTCTATTTTGTCACAAATGCCAACCCAATCCAATTAAAAAATGGATAAGATATTTTTCTTAGCTGGGTGGATTGGGATTGAAGAGTTACCATTTCATATGTAGAATTTAGGAAGATCAACGACTGTTTCGGTGGTTTTGTTAAAGTGGATCAAAGTATTTTGTTATTGCAAAGTTTGTTTCAAGGTAAAATAAAGTTGGATAGATGTGAAAAATGCTTTATTCATCTCTTTTAACAGTCGAACTAAAAGGAAAAGGTTACTAGATAAGAGTAAAAGTCCTTTTGAGAATTGATGTGTCTATTGGTGATTGTCGATTGTTTTTGAAATTGTATGGTAGTACCTAAGAAGCACGGACACGAGACATGGATACGTTACAGATAATTGTGTTTTATATATAAAATTATATAATTTATCGCGACTGTAGTGATAATGACATATTATTCATTAAAAAATCAGTATTTTATGATAAGTATATATGTCTAGAGTCATCTAGTGTGAATTTTTAGACTAACATCATAATAATCAATAATTATCATTTTTTCGTAGACGTGTACCAAACGTATAATTTAAATGATTGTTCTCATTTTCTCAATTTATTTGTTTTTTTTAAATCTTATATTTATCTCTTGTTTTTGTTATTATATTTTTAGTGCAATTTTAACATGTTTAGTTTTGGTAATTGTATTTTTTCTCATAGTATAAGATATTTATTAGTCAAATTTTAAGTTTTGTTAATCACATGTTAACAACTGTTTATTGTTTAGTAGTAGATATAGTCTCAATAAGTGTCAGACACGTCATCAAAGAAGTGTGAGACACTTGTTCGAAGTTAAAATTTTTTTATTTAATTATGGACATGGATAAAAGAGTATCGGATACGTGTTCGAGAAATGTCGGTGTTCGACACATATCCGACATGGATACGTCACCTTCTTGATAGTGTCCTTGCTTCATAGTGGAGTACAAATCATGCATACGCCATACAAAAAGTTGAAGATGATGGGCTGGCAACAGACCGACACGTGTCATTCCAAAAAGGATGGTAGCACACATATCAAATGCACTCTAAGGAAAAGAGAAATAATTTGGGGCGACCGTATAAAAGCACACCAATTTGTGTAATTGGGTATGCTATTAATGAGGGAGGGGCAATAATTATGAGATCAGTTAAGAGAAATCGTGAATTAGTGGGAGATAATTCAAATTTTGAAATAGTTGCTGGGAAGATCATTGGTAATTCCCAATTACCCTAGTTGACTTTTGGGTCTTTGAGGGTATGTAGCCCAACTCGGGTGGGTTCTTTTAAAGCCAAAACGATGGACTCTTTTAAGATTTAGCCTACTCCAACTCGGGTGATTATTTTTTGGATGAACTTTCTAGTCTTCCCTTTATTCTTGCTCTCCCTTTATTCTTGCTCTGTTTATTTGGAAGGCTAAGCTGTCTCTTGAAGTGCAAGTTTTTGCATGGACTGTTGCACATGGTAAGATAGATATCTTTGATATGCTTCAGAAACCAAGACCTAACATTTGTCTGTCCCCTAAACGTTGTGTGATATGCAAAGGTGGCTTTGAAAGTATTGATAATTTATTTTTATATTGTCCCATTTTTTTGACTTTGTGGCATAAGCTGTTTGGATTGATGGGAATGAAATGGGGGATTTCCGTTTCATCTACATCTTTATTTGTGAAAGATTTGAAAGGCCCCGGTAGATATGGTAAATGAGAGACTCTTTGGAATTGTGATATAATGACTATGTTTTGGGTTATTTGGAAGAAAAAAAATGCAAGAATCTTTGAGGCTTGGTAAGATTGCTTGGGAGGGTTATGGGATCGCCATTCACTTCTTATCGTTTTTCTGGGCCTTGGTTTCGAAGGAGTTTATAAAGAGATTCCACTTTTTTCTATTCAAGCGGGATAGAGAGCATCATGTGATTTATAGGCTAGAAATGTTTTTATTGTATTTTCCCTATTGCTCTTTTGTTTTCTCTTTGATGTACCCTTCTATTTTACGCTTCTATTTCTATCATATTAATAAAAGAGTTTTGTTTCCTATCAACAAGTGTTACTCGGTACATTCTGCTGAAACCTACATTTTGTGTCCCATTGGTGTGGCCACTAATCTCATTATTCTTGGTGCCTCCAAGTGCAATTACAAATGTATAAATGCATTCCAAAGCAATTCACCAGGTCACAGATATGCACTTTGAAGAGAAAAACTTATTTCAAATGAATTCGAAAAGTTTTTAAAGACTAGTTGAAAAATCAAAGAAGACTAGTTGAAAGCAAAGAAGAACATTAGAAAAACCAATTTTATGATCTTCTCAACTGGTAAACCAAAGTATCCTGATTGCACAAGATAGTTATAAACCACACTTCAAACACCACATGACGAAGTGCGTGCATGTTGTTGGTGAAGCAAGACACAAGATAAGTTTTCCTTGACACTACAAATTTTCAACTTATCTGGTCTTATATAAGGCTTTGTCCTACGTGATGTGAACTACGTGCATCTGCTATCAACTTCATCAGTTGCTGACCCTCAAATTAATTTGAAATTGCAGGAATTCTGCTAGATGCCGTGAAGGTGCTTTGCTGGCATTTGAGTGCCTTTGTGAGAAGCTTGGGAGATTGTTTGAACCGTAAGTTCAAATTAATCCATCTTTAACATATTCACTTTTTACAATATCTATTCTAGTGTGGTTTTATCTTTCTCTCTGGGCTTAGGTATGTGATTCAAATGTTGCCACTGCTTCTGGTTTCTTTCTCTGATCAAGTTATTGCTGTTCGAGAAGCTGCTGAATGTGCTGCTCGTGCTATGATGTCTCAACTTAGTGCTCAAGGGGTCAAGCTTGTCCTTCCGTCGCTTCTTAAGGTTCTTTATCTGGATATATACATCTTTTCTTATACATGCATTTATTACATCTCTGAGTGTGTGTATTTGTGTACTTATGTTTTTCTTTCTTTGCTCATTTTTCTGGATGTTTTTGGGCTATGCTTTTATTTGAAACACTAGTGTGAGTCCATGGACTGGTCTAGATGAAGGTGTCTAGCCTTTCCCTTGTTAAATCCCCAACCCATTTTAAATAGATGCTTTCATATGGCTGTTTATACATACTTTCTTTAATTGCTTTATATGGGCTTCCAAAGTTTCTGAGTTGTTTAGTTGGACATATTTTTTATCTCATTAGATGATATGCAGCTGCTTTCTTTACAAACAGGCCATTTGGATGCCTTTCTCTGGACATGACACAACTATTATTCAAAAAAAAACTTCTTTAATGTTAAGATAGTATTACTTTGTTCTACCCATGGTTACCACAAGTCACTCAACATTTGACGACCCACGATCTGGGTACATTGATCGCAAACAGGGTGGGTTCGTTTTCTAGATCACCAAAATGGACGACCCAAATTATAATACTAACCTTAAATCAATTCGTTTGAGAACATGTAGCACAAATATAAAATATTTATTAATTGACTAAATGTATATAGATTTATAATTATATATTATTTTAGATAATAGAAAATCAAGCACAACTATAAGATAAATGCTAACTGATTTAGTGTTTATGGATGTTCTGTAATATCTAATGTTGTACAGTAGTGAAAATGATCTATATAAGAGTTCTAAAATGACCCAAAATACCGTAACATAAGCTTACCCCCATCATACCATGTACTTAAGAAAGTGTCATAACATGTACTCATACGTGTACCCGTACTATGTACCAAAGTTCTAACAAAAATTAAAGATAGAACAGTGTTGCTGAAGGTGTGAACTGCCGGCAATAAAATATTGGTGCACTAGGGTTTTGAATTTTTTCAATTTAGTAACGGAAAGAGTAGATCGGGGCTTATGGATCTGTTTTATCAGTTTCTTGAGCTATGAGGAAAAGGGAGATTTTAATGCTAAAGATGATGCGGAATTGCGGATAGAATGTGCTTTGATTTCAATGATAAAAGGTGCAGGGTTTGGGTTACAGGGTATGCTGCTGGAAAAGTGCTTGTGGTTAAGTAGTGTCAAAACTGAGATAAAAATTAAAGACAGTAGAGAAAACTAACTTAATATTATACTGAGGTCTTTTGGAGTCTCACTCGTAGAAACCATTGGATTCACACCATTAGAAGAGACTACTCTATGGATGACTGCTGATATATTGAAATTGTCTGAGAGTTGTTTCTTGTAGGGAAGCATGATTAACCCAAAATAGGATTCTAAATATACGAAGAAGCAAACATGTATAAACCCTAATGTAACGCCACTTGATATTAAACAAAATGAAGTGCCAAAACCCATGGTTGGGACACCTTCTGATGTGGGCGCCAAACTAGAGAATCAGTAATATGATTTCATTAGGCAGCATCGTCAAAGTATCCATTTGTGAAAACTGTGACTTTTCAGTTCAATTAAAAGGAAAAAAGTAAGCTAAAACCTTCTCAGCTCCACCAAACCCACTGAAATTATCCCTAGTCATGCCACTTGAGGCGATCAACCTGTTCGTTGCAGTGCCTACACTAACTTGCTTCTTCATCTTATTCTCCAAGCATACTGCTTGAGAGCTGATGTATATCAAGTTTTATGAATCATTTATTGGATCTGGAAGTATACTAGTAGTTGATGAGGATACAACTGTTTTTGTCAAATAAATATACTCGGACTTTGTTTTAATTGTATATTATCCATAATGTTGAAGAGAATTCTTGGAAAAAAAGGGTTATAGGTGTGTGTGACTTGAACTATTATCATTAGTGTTGACACGATCTATGAAACTATTGGAGTGAAAGAAAGGATCTAAAGAAAAACAGATGCTAGACTATACTAGTAACAAGTCAACCCCATGTGTTTGTGAAAACTCTCCAAATATTTTGGAGATAAACACCAATCGAAAGGTTTGAGACAACCCATAAAACACTTTGATCATATAAGGATTAACTTTTGTAAGCTGACTTGGGTATTGAGTAGTTACTTGTAAGAATTGAATTCTTTGCACCGGATAGTTGCAACTCCAGAAAAAAAGAATCATGTAAAACATAGAACCATTCATATATAGGTGTATATGATAAGATATATATTATAGTTTATATGGATTCATTTGATTCCGTTGCTTTGTACTTGAGCCGGATGATGAAAAATTATCATGTCCGGCTCCTTCGAGGAATGGATTTATACGAATTCACCTATCGAAATAGCAGTGTAATATGGCTTGTCCAAGGGTTGCCCAAGTTTAATGATTGCTCTTTTCTGCTAGTTGCTTGTCATTTGAACTCCAGGTTTGAGTCAGAATTCTGATCCTACTGAACATATTGAGATAATGTTTGCTTATTCTCCAACAAGGGACAAATACCTACCCCACTAAATTGTTAAATGAACAAGTTTTGTAGTTCTGTTTTTGGACTATTTTGTACGCTCAAATAAGAAAGTTGTAACCCTAGAGTAGACAAAATGGTCAAGAGCTCACTTCAACAAGTTGGGGCCGGGAGTTTGGATTTGTCCTTTTGGGGCATACTTTATGAACCAAGTGCAATTGGGAGGATCAGGCTTGTACTTTAAAGGTTGGCAGACCTTTTAAAAAATATTTCTTACTAGCTTGGAGTTTTATCTTAGATTTGAAAATATTGCCGAAAAGTTTTTGTGGGTATATTTTATTTTCTCAAACATAAGTGTTTCTGGGTCTGTGCACTTGCATATTGTTTGATCCGAGGGGACACCAATTTTGTCAATAGAGAACACGTTAAATGATAAATTTTAGGGAAAATTTCATCCACACTCCCCGTAGTTAGGTCTAAATTTAATGTCACGTCATTCCGATTCTGAAACTTCACTGCATACTATTTTATTTTATACTTCAAATAAATGATACCCCTTTAACGGTAAGTTTTGACTCTGCCAGTAGATAAAATAATGATTTGACTAAATATTTTGTGAAAATGTTAAAATTACCCTTTCTTATGTAAGTAGATTAAAGTGCCCTCAATCCTTTTCCCATTATATATGCCCTAAACAGCCAACAAGCGTGATTTCTATCAATATATTATCCCAATGAATTTTTATTATTTTAAAGCGTTACATGATAACTTTGTTATAATATTAGTGATCATGTTATCATTCATTTGGTTATATTATCAAGTTTTTATAATTTTTATAGTTAAAAATAATTTTTCTATAATAAAATTTATAATTGTTAAAAGTCAATGTGAAAATCTCATCAATTTCTAACTCCTCTACTATTATATATCCTCCACAACGTCACTCGACCACTTTTTACACATCACCTTTCATATATAAAATTTAAATATTATTTGATAAAATTTAATATTAATTGAATAAGTTTGGTCTTAATTTGATAAATTTAAATATTAATTTAGTGCTAATTTGATAAAATTAAATATTAATTTAGTGTTGATTTGATAAAATTTAGTGTTAATTGAATAAATTGGAATGTTGTTTTAATAAAATTGAACGTTTATTTGGTGTTAAATTAAATAAATGACATTAATTTGATGAGGTTAAATGTTAAATTAATAGAATTTAATATTTTATTTAATATATTAAATTTAATTTAATAAAATTCAATGTCAATTTGGTATTAATTTGATGAAATTAAATAATAATTTAATGTGAAATTAAAAAAATAATATTAATTTGATGAAATAAAATATCAAATTAATATAACTAAATGTTGATTTATTAAAATTAAATATCACTTTGTATTGATTTGATGAGATGAAATGTTAATTTTGTTGAAATTAAATAAAAGGCATTAATTTAATAAAATTAAATATTAAATTGATGAACCTAAAAACTAATATAATATAACTAAAAAGGAGTACATTGAAATTTCAGAATCGGGAGGGGGTGTTGTTAAAGTTAGGTCTATTTACATACTGAGGTTTTAAAATTAGGTCTATTTACAAGGGGTGTGGATAAAATTTATCCTATAAAATACTCAGAGGGGTATTTTTGTAAATTAACAATCGCTGTTAACGCCGTGCCCTAACAGGGGATGATAGTGAAATTTTCTAATCGGGAGGGAGTGTCATTGAATTTAGACTTAACTACAAGGGATGTGGATAAAATTTTCTCCAACAAAGGACCAATACCTACCTCATTAAATTGGTAAATGAAGAAGTTTTGTAGTTTTTTTTGGGACTATTTTGTACACTCAAATAAGAAAGTTATAACCCTAAAGTAGACAAAATGGTTAGGAGCTCACTTCAACAAGTCGGGGCCGGGAGTTTGGATCTTTCCTTTTGGGCCATGCTTTATGAACCAGGTGCAATTGGGAGGATCAAGCTTGTGCTTTAAAGTTCAGCGGACCTTTTAAAAAATATTTCTTACTAGCTTGGAGTTTTATCTTAGATCTGGAAATGCTGCTAAAAAGTTTTTGTGGGGGTATATTTTATTCCAAATCAAGGCTACTTTCAATAAACTGAGGCTTATTTCATAAACACATGTATTTATTGACATTGTCTTAATTTAGATAAACAAAACTTTTTATTACAGAGACAAAGCTCTTACCGTCTTACATTTCAATTTCCAAGTTTATGCAATATCAATCCATATGAAACTTTGAATTATGACAGTGATAAATCATTCAACCAGCAAATTTACAAAACTAGTTAAAGTTATTCACAAGAATGGAGTTGTATATCAAAACACAGCCAAAAAAATCAATTAAGTTTAAATAAATAAGACAAGTATGTATGTCACTTCAATCGAGAGAAGAAGCGACTCTTAGGGCTTTCTTTTGGATTTGAGTTGGGTCAGATTAGATTTTATTATATATTTTGTGTATCACTCACACTCAACACATCGTGTCTTTGCTCGAAGATAATAACACACATGCATCTGTAAGAGAAAAAGGCAAAACAAAATGTTTTCATGAAAGCGTGCCTGATAGGCACTTGAGTTTTCTAACTAAGTGCACTAGGCCTGCACCTTATTCACGTGGCCTTACCTGATTTAGGCAAGGCCCTACAGCTGGAACTTGTTGCGCTTTGGGCCTAGGCGCATGCCTAAGTGTGCCTTTAACAATCCTGAGCTAAACTATTTGGGATGATATGCAACCTAAGACTGCAACAAATCTTCTCCTGACATGGGCAAAACTGCCATCATGTTTTGGTTTTGTTTGAAATCATAGTATATCACTCCATTTCATAGTTGTTTGTTAGTGTCGGGAACTGGCATGATTTAACTAGGACCAAATACTTTTAGATTCCTATTTTGGAATAAAGTAGCGTATTCAACGATTTTGCAGCTACTGGTTGGTGGATGCTTTTTTACTTTTTTGGTTGCCATATATAAGTTGGTGATACAAGTGTTGCCAATCCAATCTTGTGCTGAATACTTCTTGAATGGGCAGTGTCATTAATGTAGATGTTATTTTTAAGGGGTAAACTGTCAGATGTCACAATGCTAGCAAATAGGAATTCGTAAGTTGTGCCTCGGTCCCCTGTTGTGTTCTTGTATAACAAAAACAAAAGGCAAAAGTGAAGGCATAAGGTATGTGTGCAAATATTGTAGGATGTGCAACAATGATTAGTATTATATACAGCAATGTAGTTTAGTATCCTTTCAAGACCTACTGGAATGCGGTGACATAAATTGTTATGTTCTACAATCACTTGATTTGCTCAGGGCCTTGAAGATAAAGCTTGGCGGACAAAGCAAAGTAGTGTACAACTTCTTGGTGCTATGGCCTATTGTGCTCCACAGCAACTGTCTCAATGCCTCCCTAGGATCGTGCCAAAGTTGACAGAGGTCTATTCTGATACAAACATTACCTTGTGGTATCCTAGTTTTGATTTGCAGTTTAATCTTATTTGGAAAAATCTACTATTTAAATGCCCAAATTGTTTTTTGAATTGCATATCAGGTGTTAACAGATACCCATCCCAAAGTTCAGTCGGCGGGCCAAACAGCCCTTCAGCAGGTGGCGATTGGTGTTATTAATTTTTTTCCCCATTTACCTGTGGTGTTGTGTATAATTCTTTCTTTTGTGCTGCTCCTAGGTTGGGGGTGTGATAAAGAATCCAGAAATATCTTCTCTTGTCCCGACTCTTTTAATGGGTCTTACAGACCCCAATGATTATACAAAATACTCCCTTGATATTCTTCTCCAAGTAAGGACGTGGACTTTATAATGTCAGTTATTAAGCGTATATTTTACAGTTTGTTGAGCTTTAAATGCTATTCACTTGTTGCAGACAACTTTTGTTAACACAATTGATGCTCCTTCACTCGCCCTGCTGGTACCAATAGTCCACAGAGGGCTACGGGAGAGGAGTGCCGACACTAAAAAGAAAGCTTCCCAAATAGTTGGAAATATGTGTTCATTAGTGACAGAACCGAAGGACATGATTCCTTACATAGGGTTGCTTCTTCCTGAAGTAAAAAAGGTACCTTCATAACCACCAGGAGTGACAACTTCATTTTAACTGTTCTATTGAATAATTGTCATTTTAATATGGCTAATAAAAACAGGTTCTTGTTGATCCAATCCCTGAAGTTCGGTCTGTTGCTGCGAGGGCCCTTGGTTCACTTGTAAAGGGGATGGGAGAAGAAAACTTCCCAGATCTTGTTCCATGGTTGTTAGATACACTTAAGTCTGATAGTAGTAATGTTGAACGCTCTGGAGCTGCTCAAGGGCTGAGTGAGGTAAGATTTTAATTTTATATATGTTTCTGATACAATTTTATCTGCCTTCCTCTCATTTTTGTATACTAATTGTTGGAACTATTACGTAATTTACGTGTGCAGATCTGAAATTTCACTTAATTTAGATTTAGCCTTATTAAATCGATCTCCTAATAAAAAATTATCATGGAGAATTTTTAATTATGTGTTATTAAAGTATTGTTTGTGTTCGCTAGTGGTATAAGCTTGATTATTATACCTTTTTGCTAGAAAGATGAAACCAGTATGCATTTGTCAAGTGCAATTGGACTTTTTTTCAACTAAAAAATACACATATGTATCAAGTCTCAAAATTTCTAAACTCATTCCTTATTATAGTTTCTTATAATTTCTTTGATTATATATACAAATATAAATGAAGTGGATTCTTATGAAATTAAATATTTAATAGGGTAAATACTACTGACACCCTATAGATCCCTAGTTAATATGGACATCCATGGATATCCCTTGGTTTTTTTGGTAATATTATTGCACTTCCTTGTAATTCATTTATTGATTTCCCATAGTACCCCTACTATCATGGGCGTTACTAAAAAATTTAAGAAGTAATGAAGGTTATTAATATTCTTCTGTTGATGTCAATTTTGTGCTCCAAAACCAATTACTCTCTCTCTCTCTCTCCTCTGCATTGACAATCATAGACATGCACCTCTTCTTCCCCTATATATTTCCATTGTTTCTCACCACATGCCTACCCTGAAACACATGTAGCAGACACTATAAAAACTACTAGTTATGTATACAGATATGTGTGTGCAACATCACAAACAATTGCATTGCGCTGTGTGCACCACTAGCTACCACCATCACCACACTACCTCCAACCAATTTATTGCACACTCAACCAATTCCTTGCGTACTGGTGTGGGTGACATCGGACAGTGCAGTGACCAAGCCCACCCAAGAATATTCGCCTGGAATGAGGTCAAAGCCAAACACAATTTTGTGCAACATTTAATGCTCTGGGCGGCTGCCAGTGAACATTAAATGGGGCATTAAAAGTTCCAGCTAGCATCCAAAACACCAATCTAACTAGTTCCACCTAGAGGCTAATTGTTATAGGGGTCTAGATTGCCTCGATTTTTATTTTTTATTTTTTAATTTTTACCTCTATGATGGCACTAAGTGGCACAGTTAGTTTTAGCCAACACTCTAGAGGTTCTCTTAGATAAATCATCGAACAATAGTGTAGTCGTACGAGTTATAAACAATGTCATATCCTTTACCTCTAAACAAATACAAGGAATGTCTGACTAAGATTCTGACTAACAAAATTACACCTTTCCCCTGTGGTGTATTCTGCAAGCCCTAGCATCGTATTTATTGGCTATAATCAAGGATCAAAATGTCGTGTCGACACGTCCGAAACGTTTCGAAATTTCAACACTCCGAAATGAAACAGTAGTTGAATCACAAAATTCCAGTGTTTTGGTCGAAACGGTACTGTTTCGGACCGTTTCGGTCGAAACGGTACTGTTTCGGACCGTTTCGGTCGAAACGGCATTGTTTCGAACCGTTTCGATCGAAACAGTACCGTTTCGACAAAACAGTGATATATTCGGTTCATTATGAATTATTACATTTAATACCCTATTATAATTATATTTAATACCCACTGTAATTACATTTAATACTCACTATAATTATATTTAATATCCCACTATAATTACATTTAATTCCCACTGCTCTTCTGTCTTTTATAATTTTTTTGTTATAAGAATAAATAATTACACTTAATACCCTACTATAATTATATTTAATACCCATTATAATTATATTTAATACATACTGTAATTATATTTAATACCTCACTACTGTGCAAGTTTTTTGCTTTTTTTTTGTTATAAGTATTAACAATTACATTTAATACCCTAATGTAATTATATTTAATACCTACTGTAATTATATTTAATACCCACTGCAATTACATTTAATTTTTAAGTATACATAAGTATCATTAATTTAATTTGATACCCTTCATTATTAGTATTATAATAAAATAGTATTATTAATTGGATTATATTACCGTAATAATATGATTTGGAGTAACTATTGTCATCATATTTATGTCACATATAGAGTTTCTCTAAGTAGCTACCTAGAGCCTACACCGATGTACGAGCCTGCTCGACACTCCACAGGGGAATGGATGTAACCATGTAAGTATGTACTCATTAGCATTTCATGTGTATTATAAGACCTTAATATTATGTAAAAATATGTTTATTTCATAAAAAATAAGTGTTTGAAACTAATTTAAGTGACTTTCGCCTCAAGTCAAGCCTTTTTTTCCCTCAAATTTAAATTTATTTTTGTAGAAATTGATGTTAACCTAATAAATATGTTGAATTAATCAATTATTTAGCATATCTTTATAAATTAATGGATTGCATTTGTGTTTCTATGTGTTTCCATATTTTTTCTGCGTTTCCATTGCGTTTCTGAAATGTTTCCGAAACGTTTCTATTTTTGAGTTGACCGAAACGGTACTTCGAAACGAAATTTTGATCCTTGGCTATAATGACTGTTACAACACAACTGCCTAGGTAATGCGGGCACTAATCAACTTCGGCCAACAAGGCCTCGCTGTTAACCGACAGCTAGGTGTGCTGGAAAAATGCAGAACATGCCACCAAGGTTTGTGGAGGTTTTCCTATAAACCACCAGGTCCTCTGCCACACACATAAGCAATCTAAAAATGTTGGAGCAGTTGATAACCGCCTCATGAGTCAGCAACTATCTGCTTGTAACTGCTTGTAGAGTTAGCCAATGCCATCCTTGTGCCCAATCGTGGCCATGATGTGTTGGCTCCTTCAGCCATGCATGGGGCTTCCATAGTGGCGGGTCCCACAAAGGCAATGGTTTCATATTTTGTTGAGTTGTCAACTTGTGTTCCTTGTATCAACTGATGGCAAGGTTTTTAATGTCGTGGCTTGTTTTCTCTTCTGTGTCGGGGGTGTAGAGGTTGCCTTGCCTAGGTGCCTCGAGCAACATCCCTCTATAATAGAATTATGAAACATAATCCAAGTGCCAGCAATAGACATCAATGATACTAAGGAATCATAATCATATTTACTAAATTGCCACTGTGCCCATGCATTAAGTTTTTCTGCACGATCGACCTTCTGGTAAGCCAATTGGCCACACAATCTTGGACCATTCAGCAACTGAACTGCCCAATATGCTTAAAAACATTTAAACACTTACACCAAACACGCTTCCAAGCATTTTAGAATCGTCATACACGTTGGGGTTGCTTATCAAGCAAATCCCCATCTTGGCCTTGGCATGGGGTGCCAATGGGCAAGCCACTCACATGCCTTGACCATGCAAAACTGCAAAAGGGCTAACGAACCAACTTTACCAGAAGAACTCAATGTCCTTGTCGATAGATTGTTCCAATACCCTTTGATTTGGTGTTCAAACTACTAAAGCCTAACATCCCTCTCCCAAACAACCTCTGCTTCAGAGCTACATTTCCATTGAACTAGAAAATCAGTACTGCGTTTATTCTTACTTTGACCAACATTCTTTTGAGAAAGAATCTTCTCAACATCCCTATCGAACTATTTTCGAACAATGGGTGGGCCTCTCTTTGCTTGTCTCTGTCCGAACATCTAGTTAGTCTTCATGACACAGCTTTGGAAAGCTCACATGAAATGTTGGGTGAATCTTCAAATGTCATGTAGCTTCAAGTAATAGGCAACTTTCCTAACCTGCTTCATCACTTTGAAGGATCTATCATACACTTGATGAACTATCTTGCTACTATTTTTTTGTTGCTAATTTGTATTATTTTTTTTAGCAATACTTTTTCCCCCACTTGAAATTTAGCGTCCTTTGATCCTTTTATGCACACTTCTTCCTTTGCGAGCTGCACTGACCAAGCTGTCCTTCGGCGCCAAAAGCAACACCTGCTTTGAGTGAGCAAAAGGGTATTTAGCGAGACATTTGCCTCTATTCGTCTGTTTTGTCACTTCGTGAGTGTAGTTTAGAGGTCTAATTGTGGGTACATAGGTTTATGAAGAAGAAGTAGAGAAGGATAACAAATAATTTAGACATCCCAATTGCATTCCCTATAAAGCAAAGAAAACCAATAACATGATCTCATTCAAAATATGACTAATGAACTCAAATACAATTCATGTCTTGATATAACTAAAAGGATTAAAGTTCCCTTGACCTTATGAACCTACGACTTACAAATTATAAGACACAAGTTAAAATATGCTCGTAGTTGGGGTTGCAACCATGAGTTCTAATGGCACATGGTTGGAATGATTCCCTGTTGTAAAAAAACAAAAGAGTAACAATGTGGCCCTAAATTTAACCCTTTAAAGTTCATTTGACATGCTTCAAGGGCATGTTTGGTATAAGGGTTTTTTTTTTTTTTTTTTTTTTTTTGGGGGGGGGGGGGTTTGGATCCTGGGTTGGGGATTAAACTCCCTTAAATCCATGTTTGGCAATTATGTATTTAGTCCAAGGTTTGAAACCCGGCCCGGTCATGAAACCTAAGGGGGGTGGGTTTCATACGTGGGTTAATGAGTTTAACATACAACTGACATTTATATCCCCATATATCCTATATACCCTATATATATAAATTGGTTAAGGGACATAATAGTCATTTATATATAAATATATTATCACAATAGTCATATATCCATGCGCATACCAAACATGGTTATGGACAACATTAAATATTGAATCCCATCTTTGGGTCAAACCCGGGTTTGAACAAGCCAATCCAAACCTCTTCTAAAAAACATACCAAACAGGCCCCAAGTGTCCTTGTTCATGTGTTCCATGTTAGAGGTCGTGGTTCAAACAAATTTGTTTTGTTTTAATTTTTTTTTTTTTTTGAAGGTAGGGAGTAGCACCTTTAGTGATAATGATAGAGTTGGAGGACTCCAATCTGACAAGGGATAGGGATCACCGGTTTTTGGTAACAAAGCGCATTATATGTATCACAAAATGGTTGATTGTACTAAAATCATTCCTCATTATAATTTATTGAAGTTTTTGAGACTGGGTTGGGTTTATTGGTTTTATTTCAACCGACTATTTCCGTTGGCATATTGAATTTTTTTTGTAGTAATAAAACTTGGGGTGGCCATGATCTAATCTCTGTCAGGTCAACTGATACTTGTAACTTTCAATTCTATTCTTTTACTACATCAAAATCAAGCGTTTGTGCATATTATCTAGAGCTGAATGTGATGCCAAAGTGAAGATGATTGTGAGAGATTTGATCATCTAGAGCATGTCGGTGTAATTGGATTTTTAATTACTTGAAATTGTGGACTAAAATATTGACCTTGATCTAAATCTCAACAAAAATCAAAAATATTTGTTTTGGATACTCTAATGTGGGTTGCAATAATATTTGGTAACAGAGCAACCATGATACACATTGAGGCATTTGATTGCCTCTTATATTGTGACTGATGCTGGACGTGATGTCTGAAGTCAATACAATGGTGAAAGTAATGATCATCAGGTGCATGTCATAGGAGGTCTAAGAAAAAAAAAATATAGTGTGTTAAAGCCGGCATGGTTAGAATTTGGAGACCATAGTGCTGTGCTTGTGAGTGCTTGAAATCTGTAAAACAATATACCAAACCGAAAGAAGTCTATCCATTGGTTTTAATTAAGCTTAATGGCCCATGTAAAATTGATAATTTTTTTCCTCTCAGGTTACTGCCTCACCTGTTGACTTTTACACTTGATAAAGCTTGCAATGGAAGCAGAGAAGCGAATTTCCTAGGCTTAACCTGGATTCTTTTAACAAAGATAGTATAATGATACTGACCCTTTGCTAGATCTATTCTGCTTAGGCAAAACATACAGATTGGTGCGCTCTTCTTGAGTCTTGACAAATATTTGAAACTTGCTATTGTATAGCCTGTTTCTGATCATATTGTTTTTATTTTGATGAGAGAACTGTACTTTTATGCAATTATTGAGACTGTTTTGTTAAATTATTATATTTGCATAATATGCTTATTGTTTTTCCCTAGGTATTGGCTGCACTAGGAACAGAGTATTTTGAGCACCTACTCCCTGATATCATTCGAAACTGTGCTCACCAGAAAGCATCTGTGCGTGATGGTTATTTGACTCTTTTCAAGGTGAACATCAATAATTCGATTGATTTGCGAATGCACTGGAAGGTTATGTTTCGTGGAAACTGTTTTCTTGTTTCCTTCTCATTGAAATTTTCTCTGTAGTATCTGCCAAGGTCATTGGGTGGCCAGTTCCAGAACTACTTGCAGCAGGTGCTGCCTGCTATTTTAGATGGTGAGTGCGCCTTTTATCTTTCTCGTTCTTGTGTATCTGACTTTATTTTTGGACCTTAGTGTCATAACTGCATACTGTGTATTCACCTACTTGGTCTGGTTTTTCGAATATAATATCTGCTGATATTTTTTTCTCAGGTCTTGCAGATGAGAATGAATCTGTACGTGATGCAGCACTCGGTGCTGGTCATGTTCTGGTGGAACACTATGCAACAACGTAGGTGCCTTTATGGTTGCAAACATATGGTTTGGATTCAATGCAAAATGTTTGTTATCTTCTAAGAAGTATGAATATGGATACGATATATGGGTACAATACAATATGGATAACAGTACAATAAAACCTAGAAATACAGGATGCTGATAAGACCAGAACTGTCTATAAAAGAATATATTTTGCATTTTTACTATTATCTAACGGTTTTGTAATTATAATTTTCAATCAATTTGACAATACCAAAACTAGTAACTTTTACTTTCAAAGAAGTGTCGTGATTATGGTACATTCACAAAGTAACCATGACATTTTAGGTTCTTTTGACGGTTGATAATAGATAATACTTAAAAAAGGCCCATGTGTCTTTAATGTCAAATGGATTTTTTTATATATGTTGCATTGTTAGTGAATTCGAGAGGAAATAGTAAATATATGCATATCCTATGTGTATTCATTTGTATAAGTATGCCCACCGTATCCTAATATTTTGCTTATTATTGGATACGTATTTTGGAGTATGTGACGAGTATCGTATCCAATACGGATGCATAAACCTTAACGAAGTATCCTTGGTTCATAGGTTATCTTTTTGGTTAATGACTGATAAATTGAGGTGAATGTTAATGTAATTGAGATCTTGTCGTGAAATTAGCTGTTGGAAATTAGACATGTTGAAAAATAATTGAGGATGCCAATTCTATTTGAAACAATTTTATAGCCTGAAATAGCTTTGAGTAAATTTCAACATCTTCATCATTTCGGGTTAATGAATTGTGTGCATGGCATGTTTACTCATCTTAAGTATAAAATTTGCTACCATAATTTTGACGCCCATGTGGTGGTTATACTTTGTGCCATTTTCTTTTTTTTCTTGTCAGGTCTCTGCCTCTACTCCTTCCAGCCGTAGAAGATGGTATTTTTAATGATAATTGGCGTATCCGACAAAGTTCTGTTGAATTGTTAGGAGATCTCTTGTTTAAAGTATAGTCTCCTTGTCCTCTTCGAATAGACCATTGTTATGAAGTTCTTGTAGTTTGTTATGTAAGATGATCTATTTCATTCAGGTTGCTGGAACTTCTGGAAAAGCACTTCTTGAGGGTGGTAGCGACGATGAAGGTTCTAGTACTGAAGCACATGGTCGTGCTATTATTGAGGTGCTTGGTAGGGCCAAACGTAATGAAGTTCTTGCTGCTTTGTATATGGTTCGAACAGATGTCAGCATATCCGTACGCCAGGTGTGATGCTGTGATGTCTCTTGATTCATGTGTGGATATATTTCGACTCCTTTGAGATACTCAATTTTGTAATGTATGAAATGAAGTCTTCTCTCTCTCTCTCTCTCTCTCTCTTCCCTGTGTCAGGCTGCTTTACATGTGTGGAAGACCATTGTCGCAAATACTCCAAAAACTCTGAAGGAAATAATTCCTGTTTTGATGAATACGTTGATTATTTCTCTTGCATCATCATCCTCCGAAAGGCGGCAGGTCAACTATTCTACTTGTTGCAATTTTTAAGCCATAATATGGTTTGCAAAATAATCAATTTATGTTCACAATGTATTTTCAGGTTGCTGCAAGATCACTGGGTGAGCTTGTTAGGAAGCTTGGGGAGAGGGTGCTTCCTTTAATTATTCCTATTTTATCCCAAGGGCTAAAGGACAAAAATGCTAGCAGAAGACAAGTGAGGCTTCTATCATTTAGTATATATTATCTGGATCTCGTATCTTATTGACTATAGTGTTGCACCATAGTTATGAAAGTGGATTTTTCTGTTTTTTGACTTGGTTATGTTGATTCTCTCACCAGCTTATTGTAGAAAATATATGTTGCTTGGCCACTAGGAGCATGATGGAGTTTCTCCATTGTTTTTGCTTTTGTGTTTTCTTCCCAGTTATTCTCTAAGCCTATGATAGAATTTTGTTCATATTTGCTCAGGTCAATATATTAAACTGAAAGCGGAATAAGATTAAAAATCATGCTTTTAGTTGTATATTTCTTCTGCCTACTGGTTTACTATTTCAGTTGCATATACTGCTTTGAAGTCCATGTCTTGGTTATCTCACTGTGCATAAAGTTTTAATTATCTCTCCTAGTACCTACGCAAGAGTAGTGTTAGTTCAAGTAGGTCAGTTGAGGCCACTCAGAAAAATATTTGTCCTAGGCTGTCAATATTATTTGAATGTATTCTTTCTTATGTATATTCTTTAGATCTTATACAATGTAAAACATGTATATTCCTTAGATTTGTACAACAGTAAACTATATAAAACAGGGAAGGCAGTGGAGGTGGGTTTGGGACAGGGTTCTCCTTTCGTAACTAAATATTTTGGAAGGTTTAAACACAGAGGATCATGATTGGTTGTCCAAAACCCATCAGAACTTTTGCTGGTGAATTTTTTGATGTTCAATTTTTTTTCTCCTGCATGTGGTAATCATATATAAATGGCATAGGTACAAGTATGCCTACATAATAATTTTTAGTGGGAAACACATTTAACTACAAAATATTTTCTCCTGCCCCACCACGGTTAGCTGCTCCACAAAAGCCAAATCAACATTAGCAGTGCTCAGGTGGGTACTTGGTGAGGCGTAGGCCATACCTATGTTCAAATAATTAGTACATTTGTACTTGATATGTTTGCAAATGTATGTGTACGAGACGGGATTAACTTAAGACTCGACATGAGATTTTCAGTTCTTACCCCCTACACATCTTTCTGCTAGATTGGCATTTTCCATACCCAATATGGCATTAGACATGCCTGTCGTCATGTGATGCACACCAATTTATGGGTTGCTACTTGATCAACAAATTCACATACCATTCACGGATGAAAATTATATAGACTTCCGTTTTTCTTTTATATTATGTATATAAGCTAGATAGAATTGTATTATCTTATGTTGATGTTGCGGTTATGTACAAGTAGTCAAATATACACGGCATACATATCCATGCGTAGTTTAATACTTGCTAATCTTGCGCCCACATCATTTTTGGTATTTTAAACTGAAGACGGAGTAGATGCATTTCCACAATTGTTATGCAAGCTGAAGACAGGTTGCCACCCAGTCAGTAAAATATCACATTTATTGAAGTAAACTACGAGAATATGAACTTGAGCATGTGTTACAGTAAGACTACCCCTTATAGCACTGAACTTGGCATGTGGTGTTTGTGAAGATCATAATTGGAGTATTTGATCTAATCTCAAAGGTCACCCAAAGTTGGTGGAGGATGCTAGATTGGTACATTAATGCAGCGTATAATTTGGGAGGGCAGAATCATGCTAGCTGTGATTCTATGCTATTTGTTCTCACATACAAGTACGACAAATGAAAAAACAAAAATTACCACTTTTCAACAGTTTCATCCTCTTATGTTCGTCAATTGTGGTGGATAGTGGATATTTGTTGGTTAGGAATGTGACTTTTGGTGGGCAATTTGGTGGCTAGGAATATGGCTTTGTTAGGAAAATAGCTTTGGAGATTTTCTTTGGAGCAAAATTCGCTATGACACTCAGTTATTAAAAGTAAGTATGGCTTGCGGGACAATGGCTGGTATGCAAATGGGCTTGATATGGGAAGCTACCGAACCCCTTGGAAATCCATTTCTCTAGGATTTCCTTGCTTTTTACATAGGGTCAAGTTCATTGTGGGTAATGGTTTGAGAGTTAGATTTGGGAAGATATTTGGGTTGGGGAGTCTTCTTTGTCGAGTTTATTCTTCGTTTACATCTACTTTCTTGATACCATAATTACAGTGTTGCTTCTTTGGCAAGGTTAGATTTTGGATTTCATAGAAATTTGAATGATAGGGAGTCTTTGGAGCTGGTTTCTATCCTTTCTTTGCTTAATTCTTCCACTTTGACCATGATTCCTTGGATTAGAGAGGTTGGGTTATTCACCCATTAGGATTTTTCTCAAGTAAGTCTTTCTTTGAATCTTTGATTGATGATTCTTCAATTCCTATTTTTTACCCGACATTGAAGATTTGGAAGGCTAAGGTGCCCTTGAAAGTGCAAGTTTGTGCATGGGTGATTGCTCATGGTAAGATTAATACAAATGATATGTCACAAAGAAGAAGGCCTTATATTCATCGTTGCCTACAATGGTGTGTTATGTGTAAAGTTTGTTGTTAAGAGTGTGGCTCATTTATTCCTACAATGCTTTACTGCGTTGTCCTTTGGATCAAATTATTTGATTTGATTGGGCTTTGTTGGGTGGTGCTGCAATCCATATCATCCATGTTTTTGGTAGATTATAATTTACAAAGGCTTGGGTAGTGGTAAAAGGGGTGTTATTCTTTGGCATTGTGGTTTTTTAGCAATTATTTGGGTCATTTGGTTGAAAAGCAATTTTAGAATTTTGGAAGATAAATGGGAGGTGAAGGAAAGGTTGTGGGATCAAATTTACTTCCTAGCATCTTTTTGGGCATCGATGATGAAGGAATTTGACAATATTTCTTATTTTTGTATTACATCGAATTGGATGACATCTTGTGGAAGATTGCGTTGACCTTTCGAAGCTAGTTGTATGTTTCAATTCAACTGTTTTAATTATTTTGGATCTAATTGGGTGGACTACTTATCCTCCTTTACTTGGATAATATAAATTTCATCTATCAATGCAAAGTTTGTTTCTCACACACACAGACATGGAACAACCACTGTGATGGTGTGCGATGGTAGTTGACGATAAAATAGAAATATGGCGACAACACAACAAAAGGAATGGATAAGAAAATGAGAATAGAGAGGATCAGTTTATGTGTATAGGGTTATTTTTGATATAATTGGCATGAGATATTTTTGCAATTCAAGGTATATTATTTGGACTTTTCACCCTGATCCATTCCCATCCCAATCACAACGATCTTTTTATGTCTTCCTTGCGAATCCACCCATAACTGATGCCCCCCAACCCTGCCAAACCCGAACACAGTGACACACACCCACACACACAAAAAAAAAGGAAAAAGAAAAACCCACCAAAGAAGGATTGGAAAGAAAAGCATCTCTAATTTTCAACCCTAAAAATTCCTGTTTCTGAGCAGATCTAAAAGTGAAATGTTTCAAAGCTGATATTGATTTGACTTGCAGGGTGTCTGCATTGGTCTAGGTGAAGTGATGGCCAGTGCTGGTAAAAGTCAGTTATTGAGTTTCATGGATGAGCTTATCCGTACAATACGAACAGCCCTCTGTGATAGGTTTGTCAATTCTTTTTCTTATATTTCTGTTATTGGACACAATGTTATCGAAGTTTGGATTTTCTCATCACAGTATGAGGAACATCTCATTGTAATCTATTCCTCTATCAGCATACCTGAGGTTCGTGAAAGTGCGGGCTTAGCATTCAGTACACTTTACAAGGTGCTATTTCTCAGTGTCTGGAGATCACTTTACACTTTGGCTAACATCGTAAATTGAAAATGAAATTAATAATTTATTTCCTCTAACGTAGAGTGCTGGAATGCAAGCAATTGATGAGATTGTGCCAACACTTTTGCATGCTTTGGAGGATGATGAAACCTCTGATACTGGCCTTGACGGCCTCAAACAAATCTTGAGGTAGGATATTCTCATGTCTTGGTGGTAACTTCTGGCTGGCTTGTTTGTATTTATTTATTTCCTTTACTTTGGTGTGCTAACATTTCTCTGTTCATAAATTGTAGTGTTAGGACTGCAGCTGTTTTGCCACACATCTTGCCCAAACTCGTCCATCTTCCCCTTTCGTATGTATACATATCTTTTAGTTGTGTTGACTTCTAAGGTAGATTTACTTGACTGCCTTTTCATGAGGGCCTTTGGATATGTCTCCAGTGCCTTTAATGCCCATGCTTTGGGAGCTTTAGCCGAGGTTGCCGGACCCGGCCTTGACTTCCACCTTAATTCTGTTCTTCCAGCTCTACTTGCTGCTATGGGTGATGAAGACATGGTATGCTACGTGCATAAATATGCTCACTTTTTAATGCAGGATTTGCTTCTTTTGGCCTTGTATTAATACTTGATTTTTTTTTGGTTTGTTCATTGCTTTTACTGCTATTGCCTTTTAATTTGTCTGAATAATTTGCTGCTGTTTGAATATATAGGAAGTCCAAAATTTGGCAAAGAAGGCTGCAGAAACTGTTGTCTTGGTCATTGATGAAGATGGCACTGAATCTTTGATATCAGAGCTTCTCAAAGGGGTTGGGGATAATCAGGTATTGTTCTGGTAATTTTTTGTTTTGTATTATCTTCTGTCCCTCCCTTTCTCTCTGTTCCCCTTACTATTTTCTTTTGACTGTTAACTGTCCCAGGCTTCTGTGAGGCGAAGTTCATCCTATCTAATAGGATACTTCTTCAAAAACAGCAAATTATATCTGGTTGATGAAGCTCCAAACATGATATCCACCCTCATTATTTTGCTCAGTGACTCAAATGCATCTACTGTTGCGGTAATGTCCTGATTCCTGAGTTTTCCACAGTTCAATGTACAACATTTCTAGTATTATAATTTATCAAGTATTCAACAGGTTGCTTGGGAAGCTTTGTCGAGAGTTGTGAGTTCAGTTCCTAGAGAAGTTCTTCCTTCATATATAAAGTTAGTTCGTGATGCCGTATCTACATCCAGAGATAAAGAGCGTAGAAAGAAAAAGGTAATTTGATGCTTGTATAGTAGTTTCGTAGATTACATTCAGCGATGTTGTGAACCATGATGATTACATTATTTTTTCATTGCTGGGTTCCATTTGAATGACTTAAAATTTATCTATTTATCGTACAGGGTGGACCAGTTCTTATACCTGGATTTTGTCTCCCGAAAGCTCTTCAACCATTGCTTCCCATCTTTCTCCAGGTATTGTTACTCATCTATGTCATGCATATGTTTTTTTTTTCGATAAAAAACATGACAATTTGATTGATAGTTAAAGGAAAATGAGTAACAATTTATTTCATGAAAATGTAAATAGACATATAATATCAACTTCATAACTTTTGTCATCAATCTTGAACTTTTCTTGAATTGCCTCACATTTTCGGATGGATGGTTTATAATAATTCTTTTGATTTTGATTCAGATATGATATATGCACAACTTCTCAGGGTTTGTTGAATAATCTTTTCGGCAATGGTTTATATTCTGACTTGGACAATAACACCTTGGCACACATCAAAGTATCATAAATTGGCAATTACCTATAATTTTAGAAATGCCAACATGACTTGGTACGATACTACTTTGCTGGACTTTGTTAACTTTTTTACTGATGGAAATTAGGTTCTGTAACAACATCTTATCTTTAAATTGTCTTTCTCTGAGCTATGGATTAACATAATGGCAGACCAAGTTTCAGAAACAAATGCCCACCTAAACAATATAAAATAAATAGACATCAGAGGCATACACCCAGGTGGTGAGAGTAGTTGAGGTGTAACTTTTTGTTTGGCTTTTATTGTTTGAGTAGCACAACATAGATATGGTAGGATAAAACGAGTGTTTGAATGAGTATTTTAATAAGTGTGATCAAGTCCTCAAAATTTTGTGAGTAAGTGTAGACGCCTACATGACAATCACAGTTACTTGTTTGAATGAGTATTTTAATAAGTGTGATCAAGTCATCAAAATTTTGTGGGTAAGCGTAGACACCTACATCACAATCACAGTTACCTTTTCTTGCCTTAGCTAGATATTGTGTCTTAATTTGTAAGTTTGTTTTAACCTGCCTGCATCATGCTTTGTGTTCGTGTAACTGTGAAAAAGCTACTTAATATATGGCATCAGGTCTTAAAGAAGTGTAAACCTAACTAGAAATTTTACTTCCATGGTTGTATGCACGACACAATACTAAATTGATTCCTTTTTAAGGCGTAAATAGATTTCATTGTTTGATTGTTATTAAATTTTGCTTCTTTGTTTCGTTCTTTTTTATTGTTGAGAGACCTAGAAAATAAATTTTAAACTTGATTTATACAATATTTAAGATACTACACTGTCTTCCCTCTATCTTCTTGTCTATGAATAAAAGCATTAGGTTATATTCGCTACAGTTGATGCGGGATTCAGTTAGACTGGAAATATGTAAGCCTTGTTGGCCAATTTATTGGCCAGGAGGACAAGAGTAGATTAAAGCTTACTCAGGTGAGTTTGCCAAGTTTCTGGGACCTTAAAATGCCTGGCAATTCTTTTTGTTGGGGAAGGACTGGCTGACTTGCTTTTTCAGTTCTTCATATATTTTGGTGGCCTAGGCATGGAGATATACACTGTATCTGTGTGCTTTCATGTTCATTTTCTGTTATGTGGTAAATATAAGATCTTCAAACAAAGAAGTCGTTTGTCGCTGATTATCCTGTGGAGAATATATTTTGTTTTGTTGGACGAATTGGTATGGCTCTATTTTAATTCTGGCGATACCTTCTGTACTTGAGTAAGGGAAAAGATTTTGATTTGGAATTTTACCTACAGGGTCTCATAAGTGGATCAGCTGAATTGAGGGAGCAGGCAGCCCTGGGTCTTGGAGAGCTAATTGAAGTGACAAGCGAACAAGCGCTAAAGGAGTTTGTTATCCCAATTACAGGGTATGCAACTTCAATTATATGTAGATGTGCTTTGTACCTCTATTGCCGGGACTATTAATGGCATATGTTGTTTGGAAATCAATCATGTTTATGGACTTGCCTTCTTAGAGAGAGATAGCCACCATAGACTTTATCCTTGAGAGAGAGAATGTGGCCATGCTGACCTGTAGCAGAAAAGGACTTTTCGAACTTCCCGTCACAGCTGAGTAGGCCAGAAGCTAGAAGACAAAGCATTTTGTTTCCAACAAATCTTTGGAGAAAAGCAAAATATCTTTCCAAATATATAATTTTTGGCGTCTTTATTACTACAGTTTGTTAAGTGTCGGCCTGGCATCTTAAGGTGGTCAGAGTTCAAAACTCACTAGCAGCAATTAAAAAAGGAGTAAAAACTTTGAAGATGAATGATACGTGACAGACATGTTGTTTCATTAATCTTTGTTGTTAAGCTATTGTTATGCACAATGCTCCATTAATTGACATGCAGCTCAGGTATTCTTTGTTGTGCCTTGTATTAATAGGTGGTTGGCATGATATTCAGTGGTTCTTATTTTTCAAATGTTCCTTACGACTTCTAAATCACATTTATTAAGTATCTCTCATATACAAGGATCAAAATTTCGTTTTGAAGTACCGTTTCGGTCAACTCAAAAATAGAAACGTTTCGGAAATGCAATGGAAACGCAGAAAAAATATGGAAACGCATAGAAACACAAATGCAATCCATTAATTTATAAAGATATGCTAAATAATTTATTAATTCAACATATTTATTAGGTTAACATCAATTTATACAAGAATAAATTTAAATTTGAGGGAAAAAAAGGCTTGACTTGAGGCGAAAGTCACTTAAATTAGTTTCAAACACTTAATTTTTATGAAATAAACACATTTTTACATAATATTAAGGTCTTATAATACACATGAAATGCTAATGAGTACATACTTACATGGTTACATCCATTCCCCTGTGGAGTGTCGAGCAGGCTCATACATCGGTGTAGGCTCTGGGTAGCTACTTAGAGAAACTCCATATGTGACATAAATATGATGACAATAGTTACTCCAAATCATATTATTACGGTAATATAATCCAATTAATAATACTATTTTATTATAATACTAATAATGAAGGGTATCAAATTAAATTAATGATACTTATGTATACTTAAAAATTAAATGTAATTGCAGTGGGTATTAAATGTAATTATAGTAGGTATTAAATATAATTACATTAGGGTATTAAATGTAATTGTTAATACTTATAACAAAAAAAAAAAGTAAAAAACTTGCACAGCAGTGAGGTATTAAATATAATTATAATGGGTATTAAATATAATTATAGTAGGGTATTAAGTGTAATTATTTATTCTTATAACAAAAAAATTATAAGAGACAGAAGAGCAGTGGGAATTAAATGTAATTATAGTGGGATATTAAATATAATTATAGTGAGTATTAAATGTAATTACAGTGGGTATTAAATGTAATTATAATGGGGTATTAAATATAATTATTCATAATGAACCGAATATATCACTGTTTTGTCGAAACGGTACTGTTTCGATCGAAACGGTTCGAAACAATGCCGTTTCGATCGAAACGGTCCGAAACAGTACCGTTTCGACCGAAACACTGGAATTTTGTGATTCAACTACTGTTTCGTTTCGGAGTGTTGAAATTCCGAAACGTTTCGGACGTGTCGACACGACATTTTGATCCTTGCTCATATATATGCACACACACATACTCGCTATTGTGTATATTAGGAGGAATTGCGCTTTGCCACTACACTTTTAATTTGAAATGGACCCCATTTGGTTTCAATTTCAACAAATTGCCCTCAAGTTTCATGTGGACTAAATTGACTAGCAGATTAGATGGAAATTTTGTTTTGCTTTTTTTTTTTTTCCCCTAGTCGTTCATGATATTTTCTTCCTTTCTCTTTTTTATAAAGAGATACATCATACATGGTTGTATATCACTTTCTCTTTCTCTCTTCATTCTACATCTCTCTTTTTATATCTTATCGCTAAGTATGTATAATATACATCCTGTCTCTCTTTTTCCATCTCTCACTCTATGTATTTTTGTGTCATCAACATATGCAAAAATCTGAAGACTAATAGCTTGAATGTCCATTACCTCTTTAAATTTATAGTCTTTTATAACCAATCCTTTGATATTCTTACAAGACACATAAAATAGTCTGTTAACGTCTCTCATGTTTTGTTTTTGTGGTGTTGTTAGTGCGGTTTGGGTGGTTGTGGTGGAGCAACAACAACATGATATGAGGTGGGGTGCTGAATGGAGATGTTGGGGAGACAAGGGTGTTGGTGGTGTGTGTGGGTGCATGTGACCCTGTTCTTTCTCTCTCTCCCTCTCTCACCTTGAGATACACACACACAAACAATTGCTTTATGCATCACTCTCTTCCTCTCATGTGGTTGTGTTGATGAGGGGATCTGCAGTGAAGGGGAGAGGATTGATGGTGGTTTGTTTGCAGGAGAGAGATTTTGCTGCGGTGAGTTGGTTAGGTTGGATCACCGTGGGTGGAGGGTTGGGGAAATGGGTCGGTTGGGTCTTCAGTGGGGGTTTGCTTTTTGCCATGAGAGAGAAATGAGGATACTTTTGTCTTTTAGGTAAATGTCCGTTCATGGGACGAATTTCTTTCACTTTTGACTGTTGACACTTGATGGAAGAAGTTAATTGAAGCAAAAAAGTATTGTCTCATTCGCACAAGTATTCATAACTTTAGGTGGCAAATTGTATAGCATAGCCTATGTATTATGCCCTTTTTTTACTCTGTTGTTTAGTCAATTGTTTCAAAGTCCATAACACAGCTTACCAATTGAACTATGTTGCTTTGTGTCTTGTTTTTTTCTTATGCTGTTCCTAGTCCCATGTCCAAGAAAACTGTCTTGTTGTCTTCTTACCTAGTATGGAGTACTAAATGATTGTTCAGAATGGGTAGTGGATTATGGAGGATATCACTGTTTTGGAAGTCTCATAAATCCTCTAAATCTCTCCTAATACAAAATGTTTATGTTAAATATGAATTGCTCATCACTAGATGTTAGATTTATTTCTGGGAACATGCTAAACTTGGATGATTCTAGGTAGGACGGTAATTGTTACATCCGGAATTTTTGGAGCTAGTAATAATGATCATTATTTATTGAAATTCCATCCCCATGCAAGAGAAATTTTAAAGCCTTGCAATCCCAAACTAGGGATTCTTAATCATGTCGTTTGGATGTTCACAAATGCAATTCAAAACATGTAATGCAAATACTCAAAACCCAACTATCCCTTGACGTTTGAATTCCATAATAGCTTATTCAAGCCAGTTAGAGGTTGTAATTTGTTTTCCCATAGTAATTCCCAACATAGCATTTTCAGCTTGTCAGGCACTATTGCATCGTATTTCAAGCTGCTCAACACAGGCATGTGAAACACCAAACCCAAATAGATCAAGCTAAATTTTTCAAGACAGCTCCAGGATCGGCCTCTCCCCTTTGTCCTGCCTTGCACCTGAAATTGTTAGGGATGACCACAACTATCTAGTAGCCAGTAGGGAATAATATATGTACTGTATCCTGTGGTAAATTCAGCACGCATACGTCCCAGGCATGAGCATAATATATCTGTATGCAGTGACAATGACAATATGAAGCTTCTCATATTCATTCAAAAGCAGGATATTTGCATTCTCTAACACAACCGAACAACTACTTCTATATACATGGAATATTCAAGTATTAGCAATTCCACAAGTCAACTGATAGGTCATGGAATTTTTTTGTGCTATCACCCTGGACCACCCACGTCTTCTTGTATTCTTGGGCATTCACCTAAGTTAGCAAGGGGCTCCATTGCTCTCAGTTGAGTTTCATATCTTTTACCCATGGGAGTTACAATTCCTGCTCGTTAATACACAAGGACACATGTCTTGGGCATCTGATTGACCCTCCCAACAATGTTCCATTTTTTGCCATGCCAACACATGGTCCTTCACAGAACCATATCGATTCCCATTCCAAGGATCTGACACAATGAATTGTACACATTGCACATCCCATCCTGATATCATATACACACACAATTACGATCATAATTCATGCTCATGAACCATCTATATTGTACAAGCATGTAGTGAGTACACCCATATGTCTCCTATAAGAAAAGTGCACCCATGTGTCCCTCTATATGCAAAACCATTTATAATCATGATACAATAGCACTGTGAAATAGAACAAAGTAATTTTGCTTCCCTATTTCAAATCAAGATCCCTATGTTAGGTTTCTACTCCTTGTGTCCTTAGTTCCTCCATCCGTCTCTAATCAAGTATAATTTTATCGCAATATATAAAGTATATTGCAATAAACTCATATTTTGACTCTCATGCGACTCTCCCCTAGGTTTTTCTCTCTCTTCCTGACAAAATGAAGAGGAACCAATTCGTACTGTATTAAAAATGGTCTTTGTGTTGTAAAATCATTACCATAGAAAACCATTTCACATACCAAAAAACTTTGGATCACTTACTTATTCCCTAGAAATGCTTAATTATACTTGATGTGGGTTTCTAGTTTTCAGTGGATTACTTGAGTTTTACTTGAGTGGATTACTTAATGTGGATTTCTAGTTTTAAATCTTGAATTATTCACGCTAAATTGCCCTTGCTGACTTTATCAATCTTCAATCTCATGTTCTTTGCTTTAGGCCTCTCATTCGTATTATTAGTGACCGATTCCCATGGCAAGTGAAGGGTGCAATTCTTTCTACTTTGAGTATCATTATTCGGAAGGGTGGGATGGCCCTTAAACCGTTTCTTCCACAGCTTCAAACAACATTTATTAAGTGTCTGCAGGACAATACAAGGTTAGTTTATGGCATTCTGTTTTAACATTCTTTCATTGTTGGATGCACGATAACTTATTTTAGACAATGGATGGCTGTTACTCTTTGTAGTTCTTTGGGGTACCTCAGTTTGGGATAAAAGTGTTGTTTTTTTTGGGTCATGGGTGGGTGAGTAAGACACTTATTGCTTATTGAGCTGCATAACGTGCATTTCGCATGCCACATCTTTTTTGCTGTGAGTGAAATATGTGTCTCTTAGCTTTGTCTCCCATGTGGCCTCCAATGCAGGACTGTTCGTTCAAGTGCTGCCTTTGCACTTGGGAAGCTTAGTGCACTCACTGCTAGGGTTGACCCTTTAGTTGGTGATCTTCTCTCCAGTTTGCAGGTGATGCTTTTTTTTCCATAGTTGCCACCATTGATTTTTTTTATGTTAAATAATTAATGCTGCTGAATTGTGAATGATCAGGCATCAGATGGTGGGGTCCGTGAGACAATATTGGCTGCTTTGAAAGGTGTAGTTAAGCATGCTGGCAAGAATTTAAGTAGTGCCGTAAGAACCCATGTCTACACTCTCCTGAAGGATCTAATATACAATGATGATGACCAAATACGAAGTTCTGCTGCAAGCATTTTGGGCATATTGTCCCAGGTTTGCATTCTGAGGAATCTTAGCACCATTTATTTGCATCTAGATTTTTTGTGTTATTCAAGGTTGAGAATGATTTCCTGACTGCTTCGGCAAATGTTTTGACTTTGTTTCAGTTTTGGAATGAGAGATAATTTAGTTGAATTGCTTTCATGAATTTATTGACAAAAGGCTTGTATTGTATATTCGTTTCTTAATTTTTTGTTCTTTTTTGGTTACATATTTTCTGATAATGACATTTGCAGTACTTGGAAGAAAGTCAAATTTTTGAATTAGTGGGAGAACTTCCAAATTTGGCCTCATCTTCTAGCTACTCTGCCAGACATGGGTCAGTACTTACCATCTCTTCCATGCTTAGACACAATCCTTCAGCGATTTGTCTGCCTGCATTGTTCTCAGTAGTGGTGCTCTGCCTGAAAGATGCCTTGAAAGATGAAAAGGTATTACTATCTGTTGAGGAAAATTCTCATGGTTCTACCAGTGGCTGATTTCTGTCACTCTTCTCTTATTTAGTTCCCCGTTCGTGAAACGTCAACCAGAGCAATAGGAAGGTTGCTACTTCATCAAATTCAGAGTGATCCTTCTAACACCACTGCTCATTTGGAAACTCTTGCATCTTTAGTGATAGCTATGCAGGATGATTCCAGTGAAGTCAGAAGACGAGCATTATCTGCACTTAAAGCAGTTGCAAAGGTACATGCTTGTGAACTTGTATGTATTACACAAATGTACTTCACATTTTTTTTTGTTCAACTTTATCTAGGAAATCCGAGTAATCTTAGCACTGAATCTTTTATGGCAGGTTAATCCGACCGCTACTACGATCCACATAACAATGTTTGGCCCCGTACTTTCTGAATGTCTAAAGGATGGTAACACACCAGTGCGACTTGCTGCAGAGAGATGCGTTCAGCATGTCTTCCACTTGACAAAGGGTATTTATGTTTGACATATTTAATCATTGCTTCAGCAATTCTGGAGGAACGCTGTATCTCAGTTTCTATTGTACTTGTTAGTTTGAACTTTGAACTGTCCAATATGGAACATAGTGGAGATTTCATTGTCTCTTCTTATTGTCTTCCAGGTGCAGAAAATATTCAAGCTGCACAAAAATTCATAACTGGCTTGGACGCCAGGCGAATATCAAAGTTGCCTGAACACAGGTATGTCAGCACACATTTCGTTTTGTTCCTGATTTTGCACATTCAGTTGAATATAATAGGATTAGGATATTTGCATATGTTTTAATCATGTTGCAAAAATCATGTATAACCATCAACAAGATTTGATGTTCAGTCCACTAGATGCAATAGGTTTCAATTCATTGGTGCAACGGTCGGGACATACAAATGGAACATGTCACAATAAATGTATAGGTGGATACACACAAGATAAATGGTAGTCGCATGATAACTGTGCACTTTGATTGTAGTTCCAATGAAGGGTGTGTGTGGGTTGGGGTTATTGGCTATCCCAAAACCAACCTGAACTTGGTGGTTGTGAAAATTTCAACCCTATGGAACCACACGTTTGAAAAAAACCAACCCAAGCAAGGTTTCGTTTGTTTTTTGGTTATCCATTATGCCATAACTATAGCTAATCACATTTGTGATTTCCACATAGAAAGAAAACTTGAAGTGCATGGAAGCTAAAGATCACATATTATCAGGGCACCAGATCATTTCATAACAAACTTATAGAACCAAGGCCACAAAGGGCATCATAAGTCACATCAGTGAGGTATATAATGTGTTGTATGTTTTTGTGTAGGTTACATATGGAAATGATTATTGGTTGTTTCTATGTCCAGAGGCTGAACCTAGAATTGAATGAACTAATAGGTTCCACAATTTTTGCCAAACCAAGCAACCTACGGAGTCTGGTTGGGTATTTTTCTTCTGGTTATGCGAGAATGATGCTCACTTGCATTCTCTTTTGTTACAAACAATTATCCCAAAACAGGGGTGTGCTTTTTGGATTTTCAACAGAATGTGAAGGTGGTTCGCCTTTAGTTTTTCTATCTCTTCTTGTCTTACATTTAGGCTGTATTTTCTTTTTCTGGGAGAATATCTTGTTCAATATTGTCCCTATTTTCTCTTTTTTTATTCTGTAATAATATTAAACTTTAATTAAAAATTCTCTCCCAGAATTGTTGTTAACATGCATTTTTCGGAATGTTAATGTCTTTTCTTTATGTCCTCCATCTAGAGTGAAGCCTGGTTATGAAAAGTCATTAAGTTTGTACGACTACTAATCATTGAAATGAGAGCAGAAAATAAATTAAGACCATTAGTACTTATGCACCACAAGTAGGATTAGAAGAAAGTATAATGACTCAATTTTGGAAACATCAGAATGAATTGATGCGAGAAATACCTATCAGTGGTCATATTGGAAAAGATTAGGGAGGATATGACATGGTGGACATGAGTTTGAAGATAGGAATGATGATAGGGAGTTTGTGTTGGATTTTGCTCATAGGCACCGGGATTATAGAAACCCGTAGCATCCCACGAACCAGGCCAATTCGCAATCCAGATCGCACAAACTACCGACCCCAAATTGTTATTCAAATTCCAAATTGACTCATAATCCAAATAATCCAAAATTATAACTATGACTCAAGTTGTTACAGAACAAAGATTGGGGTTCTAGTAAAAGAAAAGAAGCTAAGGTTTTATGGAGTTATGTGTTGATGGCGACTCTTTGGAATTTTTGGTTAGAGAGGAATTCATAGATCTTTAAAACTCGGTTTAATACACTGTAATTAGTTTGTGACATAATTGTGTTTCTCGTTTTTTTATGGACCAAATCCACATGGAATTTTATAGAAGTATTTTTGTCGAATTATCAAAGGGATTGAAAGGTGGCTCTATAGTAGTCTCTTTCTTTTTCCTATTTGCATCATCTCTTTTGTTTCTTTGTATTTCTTGTGAGGGTATCTTGTCCTCTCATGTGTTAACATTTTTGTATCTTCTCAAACTCATTAAGATACATTTATCAAATAAAAACCTATAACCTCAAATCGTAACCCTAACTTATTATTTTTGTATTTTGGTGGTCTTTAAATTATATTTTCAATTGTTGTGAATTGAATGTGTTTTTAGTACAAATGTGCAACCACTGGCTGTTATTATTTACAACCATTTGCTCTTATCAAAGAAAATTATTGACTACCATTTGTCAATGCTTTGTCGTGGATTATGATTCGCTTTGTAACTCTTTTTAGAAGTTGAAAATATTAGTTAATTATGTATATATGAATGTATAATTGCATATAACTTCATATCATATTGAAAGCGATCTGGATAAGAGTTATAAAACAAACCCCGGTGCAAAACAACGTACCAACTAGGCCTCATAAAAATCATCTAGAATATGGTACGAGTATGCGGTACAATACTTCTTTTGATACTCGGTGTGAATGGGGTGAGATGATGTTTTAACCTTGTAACATTGGAAAATGATATTAGATATGTCATAAAAAGCACTTAGAACAGGAATAGAGATTGAAAAACCAAAACTATGGGGTGGAATTTGTTAGTCAAAATGGAATCATCTAAGAGTAAAATGCTAAAAGAACCAATATAGCTTTTAGAAGGTATCACTAATTGTGTGTAGTATAATTTAGAATGCTTCTTAGAAGTATCATTGAGGTTCTTGAAGAATTGAAATGTAATGAACCATGAGTTGTGGAAACATGGTTGTGGAATGAAGTTGTCAAACTCCAGTATAAACATAAGTGCATGTTATAAAATATGAAAAAAAAAAAAAAAAAAACTAGAAACAACAAAAGTTTTACAGATACAAACTTGCAAATAAAGAAATTTAAAAAGATGTGAGAGAATGTAAGCATTAAGTATATGATCATCAGAGTCAATCAATTTTAAAGGATGGAGAAATCTTACATGTAGATTTGCTAAATTATGTGAACGAAGAACTAGAGGATTAACCATATTGAGTCTTAATAGCAAAGATTCTAGCAGTACAAATATTTACAAATAGTGGAAAATTACCTTGTGAACTTTAATTAATAAATAAAATAAACTATTACTTTATCTGAGTGAACGATAAGATAACGATACACGTTATGAGAATATCACGAGTCTCACACAAATCTATCATGACTCGGTGCAACTTGAACTAACTTTGTGTAACTCTCTTCAACTCGGACGATACGTATCCGAATCAAACTGATACACACAGATTCGTCACCAGATCTCATACAACATAGCAAATGCCAAAGAAAAAGACAAAAAAGATGAAGACCTAGACTCGTATCTGTGAAAAAGACTCAACTTGGAAGAAAAATTACACAATAAATGGATTTATGGGAAAGAAAGCAAAATCGAAGATGATGATCTATCATTTTTCAACCCTAATAGCAGAAACCCAAAATGCAATTGTCCAAGAATTAAACCCTAAACCACACAACTTTCACGTTATATAAGCATAACAACAGCCGAAGTGAGACCCAAACCTATAAATCTGAACAAAAACATGGAACATTTTGTAACATAAAGCTGGAAATCATGTATCATTTTCCTTAAATACAAAAAAGTCCCCTCCTTCTCCTTCTCCTTCTACTGCATCGTGTTCAAGGTCGTTGCTGGAAATCGTGTATCATTTTTCGTTAATGGACATAAATAACTACACTTCATATTAGACTGACATAAATGAACATAATTTTGTTTGTTTTTTTATTCTTTTGTATTCAATATAGTGGGATATAATTTGCTTATTTTTTTTTTGGTATATCTAATGTTAAAAATTATTAATATTAAATTCTAATATGTTCAAAATAATCATAGCAATATATATTTAAAGCTTTAGAATTTCGTGAGTTGTGATTCTTCAATTTTTTAGGATGGCTCTAAAGCTCTAGTAGTGCTCCTACATTTCATTTTCAATCTATGTTGTGTTTGGGCATATATTATGGGCAATGATGCATGCAATTTGTTATTTATATTTGTTAAAAAAAATTATTTTTTTAGAATTTTTTGGCCTTCTATTTGGATTTTTTAGCTTATCGTCCGATACCGTGCCATGACTGATGTGTATCAGTGCCCCCGAGTCAATGGTCGATACCATGACCTTGAACCATGGGTGGACTAGTCATCCAACCCTATAATCACTCAAAATCTGGAAGAAGAAAAACAATAAAAATAGTAAACCGTTGGCCTTCATCCCTAAACTCAAACTAAATTCCACATGAATCATGCAAGGAGCTTGATATAGATCCAGAAGAAAACGAAGCGCAGAAATAAGAGAAAAAGGAGAATAGATTCACGAGACTTGCAAGGATTAGGTCGTGAAATACGTATAGTCAACAGCGTTCTCAATAAAATGTCTCTAATGACAGAATAAGATTACATCAGTATTTATAGTCTACTCTCCTACTTAAAGTAGAATTACTTTCCCGGTAAAAACTCTGTTCATAAACTATTGAAACACTCGGAGTTAAACAAAGGTTTCATAATGAAATTAATTAAACAAATAGATCCTAACTATAGCAAAACTAAAATAAATTATTAAAATCCTAATCTTTAACTTCAGGCTTCATCTAGCAAAAGCAAAACACAACTTAAACCTCAATAGCTTCAGGACAAGCGTGCTCTCCAGGGATATTGTACTAAAAATTGCCATGAAAGCACAATATCTTGACTCTTTATAGCATCCACAATCAGCTCCGCACCTAATGAATAAAATAAAACAAGCATTCAAAATGGCGCATAAAAAGTACCAATTTATATCTAGATACAACTTTTGGAACTGGCCTATTAGTAACAGGAAGAGATTGTGGAAAATTCTAAGGCTCGTCAACAACAGACAATTTTGGATCTTCATTTAATTGGACTTGAGAGTCTGGCGGAGGAATGAAGAGGTGGAACAGGTATCCGCCTTTTATCGAATCCGTTGATGTTTGGAGTGAGTCTAGCTTATCATCATGATCTTGGAATGAAGTCTTGATTCTTTCTCTTAATCCGTCTTTAGTGATTACCTTGATTGGAGGACTGATTTTAGGGTTTTCACTTCTTTAAACTGTGTTTTTTCTGAAAATTCACAAAAATAAAAAAAATAAAAAAAATTGGTGCTATTATACAATTTTAGAAAACTTGGGGTCAATTTTGGAACTTTTAGAAAACTTGTGGTTATGGGAAGACCGCCACAGCCTGGTGGCATGTTCAAAGTAGTGCCAACACACCTGACAATTTTGGATAGCTACACAGACTCATTGACCTAGGTTGGTTGGTGCCAGCATACCCTAAGCAGTTTGGTGTGATTGCCTTAGGATGCTAGGTCTGTTGAGAGCACCAAGAAGGAATGATATAATTTTGTAAGCAGATTTTTAGCCAGATACCTGTGTTCCTATATCCCCCCAGCTCTGTCTTCTCTCTCTCCTGAACTAACCATACATATTCTACACCTAGAGTGTATGACTATGGCCATGGGCTTTGATTATTTTGAGACATCTTAAAGTGGGTATTTTTTTTTTTCCTTCCCAAACACAAGATTATAGTTCATTTAGCTAACATTATCTTGTGAGTTGTGACATAATAATTTTCTCCAACCACAACCTGTGCGGTTATTTTTCCTCATTGTGCACACGTGCGTTTGCTGCATGCTTTCGATTTTTGTTGCTCAAGACGTGCTGGTTATTTTGATGTAGTGATGACAGCGAAGAAAGTGAAGATGATTTGGCTAGTGGCTGATAAATTGGTGAGTCCATTATATATGCCAAGCACTCGGTGGATCATAAATTCATGATGCATATCAATTTCTCCCGTTAAATAGGAGTTTTCTGGAATACCAGCTGACAGAATTTTGCAGCCAGAATTTTGTTGTATTCACAGTGTAAATAGGGAGGGCACATATGTACATGAGAGAGAGAGAGAGAGTTGATGCCCAATTTTTTTTACACTTGGGTATATCTTGGTTGTATCAATGTGATTTTTAATTATAACGATGAAATCCAATTTTTCAACACCGAGGACACAGTAGATGTTCAATTTCTGTTTTTTTTTTGTCAACCTTGGTGGAAATTGTGAGCTT